GTGTGGAGTAGAGGGTCTTCAGCCAGCACAATCAGTGTGGTCCAATTCCTATATGAGTCAAGGTTGCTAGCATTAGGGACCAGTCCACCCCGTCAAAAGCTATCTCAGCGACTATAGATAGCAATACACTAGGGATTTGTGTGAATTTAGAGACATGGATAAGGTTCAACAATTTTGTGGTGTTGTGTTTGGCTTCTCTGCCTGGAATTAAGCTGGCCTGGTCAGGGTGGACTAGCCCCTGGAGTAAGGGACAAAGGCGGTTGGCCAGTATTTTTGTGAAAACCTTAAGATCGATTTTTATGAGGGAGATAGGTCTATAATTTCCACATTGTGTATGGTCTTTACCTCGCTTGGGTTTAAGGGCGATCGTGACTTCCAGTGCTGAGGTTGGGAGACGTGAGTTGTCCAGAAGGGAGTTAAAAGAGTTGATAAAGGGTTCAGATAGAAGAGAGGCATAATGTTTGTAATATTTAGCCGTGAACCTGTCCTGGCCTAGACCTTTTCCTAGTAGGAGTCGTTAAGCACGGGTAGAAATTCTACCATGGGTATGGGTTGGTCTAGGGAATGTAAGACATTCTGAGGAATAGTGGAGGCTACTTTGGGACGGAGTCGGCGGGCGATGGTGGGGAGTCTTTGAGGTTGTAGTGTTTGGTATAGAAGTCTTGAAAAGCATCCATTATGTCTGGCATAAGGTTAGACTTAGTGCCCTCGTGTTTGGTTATGGTGGGTATAAAGGTAGTTTGTCTCCAAAGTTTTGTTGGAGGGCCCTGGCCAATAGTAGACCGCTTTTGCCCCCTTGTGTATAGTATAAACGTTTAGTCAGGGGCAGTTTCCTCTTGGTCTGTAGGTTTAACAGGATGGCTAGTTCCGATCTCTTTGCTGTCCGTAATTTGTATATGGACAAGTTAGTCACTGATTTGTATCTGTCCTCTAGTTCCCTAATGTCTTCTAGTAGTATTTTTTGGTTTTTGCTTCCCTCTTACGTTTATGGTGTGGTGCAAGTTTGATGATCGTCCCTCTGAGTACACATTTGTGAGCTTCCCAGATAGTAGGGTGAGAGGACTCTGGGTGTGTGTTGTATGAGAAGTATTGCATAATGGCTGATGTAAGTTGGATGGTTACGTCAGGGTCATTTAGCAGAGTGTTGTTGAGTTTCCATTGATTGGTGAAGGGGTGGAGCAAGGGAATTGTAACAGCAAGAGACAGGGGTGCATGGTCCGATCAAGTGATGGAGCCATAGTGGCGTGACATGAAAAGGTGTAGAAATCGGTGTGGGAGGAAAAACATATCAGTTCTGGCGTAGATGCCTGAGGGGTGGGAGTAGAAGGAATAGTCTCTAGTGGTGGGGTGTAAGGCTCTCCAGCTGTCGAAGAGTTGTGCAGTATCTAGCAGGGATTGTATTCGTCGCCAGGGTGAGGGCCTGGTAGTGATGGGCGGAGGAGGAAGTATCTAGATGACTGTCAAGAGAGGTGTTAAAGTCTCCACCCAGTATCAGGAGACCTTCGGTGAAGTATTTGAGTTTGCAGAGTATTTTGCAGAAGGTTTAGCATTGTTTCCTGTTGGGTAGGTATATGTTGGCAAAGTTTGTCATAGTGTTGCCTATAAGGCCCTTCACCAGGAGGAGCCTGCCCATGTCATCTGATAGGTGATCTTTTAGCAGCACTGTTTGCTATGGAAATGCAGATCCTTTAATGTTCAGCCCAGCAAGCACGTCATATGACAGTTACAGTTTTCCCATGAAAAATCCACTAATTCATTTAGAATTCATGTTTCATTTTGCTATGCAACTACTTTCATGAAAGTGATATGTGGCAGTACTGTGTACAGAAAGGTTAAATTGAAAAGTGTCAGATACATCTTCTAATGACAACGTGAGATGACTATGGAAGCATGTATCTATCAGAATGAAATAGCTGCATTTGGGCTCCGGAGGGGGTAATGGAATTATTGTGCTTAGGCCAAGAAAACGTTTTGTTAGGATGCACAGTAGTGTGGTGTGTTAAAAAAAAAAAAAATGAATAAAAATGAAACTACTATAAAAATATAGGATTTAAAGCTAACCTGTAATGCAACATGATTATTTTCCAAGCACCTGTAATCACTGCACATATAAACTCGGTAGCTACTTTTGCTTATTAATGCAAATACCCACAAATACCCAGTAAGTTGTGTGTCTCAAACGGACTATAAAGCATTCAAACACGGTTGTGAATGTTTATTGATAACAATGCTGTTATAGTGACATGTAAAGATAGATTGCAATGCACTATTTTACAAGCAATATTATAAAAGAAAAAAATGTTTCAGGATGTCATGGTGTCAACCAACCTGTAGTCGGCTAAACTCCTACTGTAAGTGAGGGGCTGGGGCTATGAGGCAGGATCATTCCTGCAGAGTGTCTATTTACCCTCAGAGGGTTAAAGAGACATTCAAATGACCATAACTACTCCAGCTCATAGCCCCTTTATTGAGCTGGTTTTGTCAGATGAATGGGCAGCACTAAACAATAACACGTGATTCGTGTAGCCGGCCTTCTAACTCTGTCCTGGCTCTGTGAGTGTATTTGCAGTTTGTGATGATGATGTTGCCGCACTGTAACCATTTCCTTGTTTATGCTCTCTACAGGCCAAGCACTTCCGTCTGTACACACAGGAGGTGTTGGAGCTAGGTCACAATGTCTGCTTTCTTCTCCTCCTTCCTGCTCCAGATAATGTTTGCAGTGCTCCAGGACAGAGTAACCCTTACACCCCACACTCAGGATTCCTTCACCTCCCCCTTCAGATGTTCGAGTTAGGTAAGCAACCATGCCTTCTTATATGATATCCTCACTAAAATATCTGACAAAGTAAATCTGTCCCAGCGGTGAATCAATGATTGCAATACCTACTGTTCCTAAATTCAATGTTAATCCATTTTTGAGCATTTAATACTAGATGAGGGTCTCTGGCAAGCCTGACCCTACTGTAGTTGTGGCTAAGACAGAGATTACACATTTCCTTTTAGCTATACCAATTCATACCATCAACAAGCAGCTGTGATAGGCTGAAAGGGGTCACCTGACACTCTCCGCTAATCACCATCACCAATTGTTGCTTAGTATTACACTTTCAGAGGTATGGGGGTTGCAAGGGCTCCTGTTTAAAATGAAACCATTAAATTGCTTTAACATTGAATGAAAGGTCAGCACCAGAGGACTTCAGACACTATAACCACTTTAGTGAGATGACGCAGTTACAGTGCCTGCATTGTCCATTTTAAAGGAACACTCTATAGATGTCTAGCAAAGCGGATGAATGGCACATGCTAGCAGTTGAGACTGCAGTCTGTATATGCATAAAAGACTCCATTCTGACTTATGCATAGCCGCTAAGGAGCAATCTACTGACCGCTCAACCAGTCCACAGCACAGGTAAGGTGGGGTTGTTTGTACCACAGTTTTAAATATGTTTGGCAAAGACCCCAACGTAAACTTCAAACGTGATGAGGAAATCTCACATTATCTGTCCCACTACACACTACATGCTGACACTATGCAGAGAGAGGCTCGGAAAGCCAGCTCCCTTCGTCCCTATAACCATTACAATAAGATGCAATGCCATAGTGGTATACCTAGTAATTTAAACATGGCACAATGTTGATGTGAATGCCAACCTTTCCTAACTCTAGTGTTTTTTCCTGCTCTGTGTTTGCAATGTTAGATGCTGAGGATAGAGATGATGATAATATATGTAGCTGTGTATTATGCCTCCTTGCCATGCACAGCACATTAGAGATGCTGAGATCATTGGTGCTGAGGGTAATTTTCTGTTACTAATCAGTTGGGATGACAGCAAGTGCCTTAATAAGGCTATAGATTTGTGTGGTGCACTGGCTGCTGCAGAACATCTTATATTCCTGAGCTGCATAGTATTTATATGTTAAGTAGCATCCTCAGGAGTATGTTATGTGGTATACGGACACCATTTAAGACACGCGGTTGGAGTACAACATGTGGCTCAGTGGAGTCTGAAGGAATCTGATAAGGTAACGTGCCTGAGGGTGGCCGGAGCCAGCCAGGATGGAACCAGGGATTTGAGTCCCCTTGTGATATGTCACACACAGGCTGCCCTGACCTGCAGTGGAACAACACGGGCTAATATTACCTCTGCCTGAGCAGGCCGGCTAATAGAATGGATTGTTAGCCGCTGAATAGCAGTAATGGAGTTACTTGGCTTCATTTCCCTGGGGTGGGGTGTAATTAACCCTTGTAGTACCAATATGGTGTGTATTACAGGTAATATGTTCCCTCTATACTCCACTCAGGCGTGGAGCCTGAAGCAGACAGATGGGAGCCTGGCAGATTTAGAGGACGTAGGATGGGCCTGGACATGGTGGGCTGGTGTAAACAACACACTCCTGGCATCGCAAGCATTTCTGATAACAATGTGTAGTTTTAAATTCTGTGATCTTACCAACAAATCTAAAGAAGTGGCAAATCCCTGCTCAGGTCTAGGTGTTCCCACTGTACTGTCTCCTTTTACTGGGTTACAATTTGTCTCTATACAGAAACAGATAAAGAACTCTTTGCTGTCCCTGTAATGTATAAACTCCCCACAAGGTAACAGTGAAATTATTTTATTATTATTTTATTTGGGAGGGGGACTAAAGTGAGGTAAATGGTTAGTTTAATACATTAGTTATTTATGTTGGTTTAAGATTTGAATGTTTTTCTAAATTGTAAAATCCTGAGAAAATCATTGTATTGTAACAGAAGGTACCATTGATTAAAGGAACACTCCAAGCACCACTATCACTGCCCTGTTTGCCTTCTTACCTGAGGTTCCTCCAGGAGGCTCTCCCTGCCTCCACTACCAACACCAGAGTGCCAGGAGCTCCCGTCACTGAGCTAAGCCCGGTGGTGCAAGGTTTAGCTCAGGAACTGTAATTCACTGAGCTGCAGAGACAGGGAGAGGAACTCAGGTATAAAGTCAAACCGTTTAAATCCTTACAGTAGGTGGGTGCCAGGGCACACCTGACACCATAACCACTACAGTGTGTTGTAGTGGTTATGGTGCTGGAAGTGTTCCTTTAACCACTACTAGCACATTGAATTCCCTGACATGACTACTTGATTTACTGCATTTGTGTGAAAAAATAATAATAAAAAAATGTGTAGTTTAATACAAAGTATAGTGTCACTTGTCAAACATAGAAGCAGGGTTCAAAATTCCCACTCTCCCATTTGCCATTACTGAGTGACATTTCAGCCTTGATAAAAAGTACTCCCAAATTTGAGGGCATATGTACACAAAAAAAAAGGAACAGTTTCCCACCTAATCTATGTTAGGGTAGGTTAGAGTTAGTGTAAGCATAGGGTTAGGGTTGGTGTAAGGTAATGCTATGTTAGGGATATTGTAGAGTTAGGGTAGATTAGAGTTAGTCTAAGCATAGGGTTTAGGGGCTGGTGTATCAACAATTAATCTAGTTCCAAGGCATTTAACAGTCAGTATTGATATGTGACTCTATTCTGAGTTCATTCTCTTTTTTATTTGCAATTGATAACTTATTTATTTTAAACTATGGAAAAAATAATGCCGTCTGCCCTGATTTAGGTATATGTGTGTAAATATATATATTTCCACGTGGGTCCAGCAGTCACTTTATTAGTCTTGTGTTTGCCGGCGTGCTTACTTCAGCCTAAATGTATAATCAGAGGAAAGGGCACTCTCAGGACTCAATAGATAAATCTTCAAAAAATAATTATTGTGCAATTTGATACACAAAAGTAATGTCAACGTTTCAGTCCGTTTGAAAAAAGTCCACCAACAGACTGAAACGTTGACATTATTTTTGTGTATCAAATTGCACAATAAAAAATTTGAATATTCATCTACTGAGAGTTCAGTTTCTTCCGACTATTTAGTCCTGAACTCTCAAATTTTTTATTGTGCAATTTGATACACAAAAATAATGTCATAAAAATTTTAACAAATATTAATAGAAAACCATTTCTATCTTTAAAAAAAAAAAAACAAGACAATATATAATATTGGATGAATATGGGTGAAACCATCCATAAGGAGTTAAAAACTAAATCTTAAACAGAATCCTCTTGATATTAACTAGAGGAGGGCACCACCTCTGTAATTAGACCCGATTCAGGGCTTTTTAGGGACAGTTTAGAGGTGGTCTGATGGTTAATTCAGTGAGCTTAATCTGAATTTTTCTTCCAAATTACCCTAAACTTTTGTGTCATACAGGGGAACAGAGGTTGGAATTTATTCAATAAATAGGTATTTTCTTTCTACTCAACATAGTGAACTCATGGCTGACAGTATATATCCAATTAAACTAAACTATACAGTAATCATGGAAATCCATAGGTCATGCATATAATATTTTTCAACTGAGTTATTGGTTCTAAATTCCTTTACATGTCCATTTCGACAGTAACAGTAAAAAAAAAAAAAGGTTTACGGGTAATCAGTGACAGCTTTTACATTTTCAGGCCCCATATTTTCTACACTCCCTTAGAAAAAAACAAACTATAAAACAGCAGTGAAACAATGCCAAAACCTGGACAGCACAGGTCTCTCCTGAGGGGCTCGTCAGCATTGTGTTTGCTCCTGTTCAGTGTAGGGAAGTAAGCTGACAGCTTCACGATAAACATTTAGCAAGCGGCTTTTCCCAACCTGTCAGGTTCACTGCTCCTTGTGCAGTTAATATATAATTAATCACAGTAATAATTTATTAAGAAGATGTTAATTCTAGGCTAAAATAGACGACTAATTAGCAATTCTGGAGAAATGGGCGGCTTAGTGAATAGCTGAAATAAGTGCACGCCTCCCAGTTTCTGTAATGTGGGGTGATGTGATTCCTCTGTAGTGGAGGGTGCCACTAAATTTGTCATCGCAATGTGAGCACTTATCATCATAATGTGACCACTAAACATTCTAAACATGCCGTCCTATTAAATACCAGTAAAGGTGGCATGCAATGCTATATTAGGCATTAAGGGGGATTCCTTGCTGTGGAGGGTATGCCGATTACATGTACAGTGCCCAGTTTGTGTGCACGCTATGATGTCAAACTGGTGCCCCTCTGGCTCACATGTAATTAACACCCAACCTGTGCCCTGAAGTCGAGGGGTTAATTCTGAGCTGGGCTAGGTGCTCTAACAATGTGCATCAATACAAATAGTCAAAACAAGCATTCCAGACTTGAAATTGCACACAAAAATGTTTCATTAGATGACATCATACTCCTGCTTTTCCAACTTACCGGTAATTGCTTTTAATTAAACTTTTAATTTAGTGGAACATGCTGTATATGGTCCCATGTGCTGACTGTCTGCTCGACGTACGCCAGTGCCAGGATGATGCAATATATGGAGAGATTTGCTCCTTGCCCTGATTGACCCCGCACGGCACAATTCTCTCTTCTTTTTAATTGTCTAAAGAAATATACGAACAATAACTGCACCATAGGAAACCACGGTTTAACCCTGTCAGGAATCTGAGGTACTAGCGAAGCACAGAAATAGTTAACAAGGCATGTTCAGTTTTTCACACTTTATTTGGTATTACAGTTGAATATGATTAATGGCCTTTTTATATTTATAATAATTAGTGATTATCTAATCTTGGCTCCATATCTTCAATGTTTATGCTGTAGATATTCTACTACTGTTGGCTCAGGCTGTCCTTATACAATACACATTTTTTATATGTATGTGTATCTCCTACAAATTGCTTAAGCCCAAAAAGCGGTCTTGTGTTCTGTGCATGTGACTAGACTCACTCTAAAATCATGTTGCAGGGGGTGGATGGGGTGACTGCCCCATTAAGTTTCAGGCTAAACAGCAAAAAAATAAGTCTTGCTTCCCGCACGTTCTTGGTAATTATGACTTATAGCCTGAACAGCTAGCCTTTCAGAGCCGATATTGGCAATGAAATGAAGTCATGAAGAGTCATAAACTGTACTACTGTGTTCCTTCGACATGTATACAAGTATAGGCTAGCAGTGTATGTAAACTTAGCCGATCCCGCATAAGTCATCTCTGTCAGATGAGAACAATTGCCCTTTGGCTAATTGAGACTGTGCGTGTACACAAGGTGCTCTCGCAGATACCGGCTCGCTAAACTCACGGTTACAAATCCAAACTACTCAATTGACAGAACGAGACAAATTACCCCCCCATTTAAGACACATGTCATGTAAACTTCAGGTAATGAACTCTGACAGACACGGAAAACTAATCGTCATGAGAATGCAACTGTTTTCTTTGTAGGAAAATGTCACAACATATAACAAACATAATGCGCTTGTAAAAGAGCAAAGTAAAATTCCTTCAAGATGATGAAAAGTGGTCTCTTGTCTGCTATTAGAGTTAGATATCTGTAAATAATCTGAAGAAGAAAGAGAGTATTCTCCGTTTGTGAAGTAATTCAAACACATTTTCTGTTTTCCAGTGTTGGTGCATTATTACATAATGGTAAAAATAGATACAAGTGTTTATCTCCCAGATATCTATTAACCATTGAATGCATGGGTACTGATCATACAGGAGCAGCAATTTCCTGGGTTAACACAAACGAGGATGTCTTTAGACATTAGAGGACTTCTCCTGCATGTTTCAGGCTTGGTATCCTTTACACATGAGCTGCCACATGCATTACATTAGTTGTTCAGTTCTAGCACTTGCTGAGAGACACATGTAAGTATGCTTAAGAGACTAAATGCAGCATCCCTTTGAAACCCTTTCCATAGTTCTATAGAAAAGGTGACAGGACTACACATACAATCTCTGATCTCAAACCACTAATGTTTGGAGGGTATAGACATCTTAGTGAACACATTTTGTATCTTCTAGAATTAATTAATTGAATATATTGTACATTCAACCTATCGTATCACAACTTAAAGGGATACTCCAGGCACCCAGACCACTTCTGCCCATTGCCCCACTACCCTTAACCCTGCAAGTGTAATTATTGCAGTTTTCATAAACTGCAATGTTTACCTTGCAGGGTTAAGACAGCCACTAGAGGGACTTCCGTGTTCATAGAACATGAAAAGTGTTTTCAGCGATGCTAGACGTCCTCACGCTATGTGAGGACCTCCAGCGTCGCCGAAATCCCGATAGGAAAGCATTGTATAATGCTTTCCTATGGGGACATCTAATGCACGTACGCGGCCATTGCCGTGCATGCGCATTAGGTCTCCCCCACCTGCTGACATCAGCGGGGAAGGAGAGTAGGCGGAGCCTGACCTAGCACCACTGGACTCTGGTAAGTCACTGAAGGGGAGGGAGAGGAGCACTGCGGGAACCTGCAGTGCCAGCAAAACGAATATGTTTTCTTGGCACTGGAGAATCCCTTTAAGATTCTTTGCACCGTTCTTCTTTAAGTCCTCTTTAAGGCTAGTATTAAACATTTCAGAGTGTGTTCTAAATATAATATATCTTCTCTCCCCAGGAACATTCATGGAAAGGTAGTCCTATCCTGTTATTATCTCTCTTACTACAATCTCAGTGAATGCAGTTGGGTTAGGTTAAATATGGCTAAGCTCACAATATCTTTCTAAAGAAGACCACATTTATGGTTATTGAAATTATTGCAAGTGAAGCACCACAACATGTTTTTTTAATAACATGGGATCTTAAACACGCACACTTTAATTTGTGTGGACAATTGGGACAAATCTCTCTAGGGAACGGTCCTATAATCACTGGCAATGATGAAATTAAAAAGAGGGGCTGTGGGGGAGAAAGGAACACACAAAAAGGGCTGTGAGGTGAAAGAGACAGAAGGGCTGGGGAATAAAGAGACACAGTTCATGCCCTGAGTTTACTATGCTTGGAGAGTAGGGCATCTCTCCTGCTCTCCCTGTAGCTCCGTTTCTAACAAGGCCTCTTATTAAATAGATTTTTCTTCCAATATATACTTTTTTGTAGCAATCCAGTTAACACAATGTACAGATATAAGTTGTACTTGATGCAACTCTATATGTAATCAAAACTATTTAACCCCCAAAACGTAGTCTTTCAGCTGTTTGCAATGAACAAATCAAAGAAAAGCAATTCACATAGC